CGCTGCTGCTGTGGAGAGCGGAGGAGGGCGCGCGGACCGGGGCGGCGCCGGCGTGGGTGGAGCGCCAGGCGGGCTGCGTCATCGCCGGCCACGACCTGGTGCGCATCTGCCGCTTCCTCATGCTGGACCTCGCGCGCGTGACGCAAAAGGTTCGTGGGCGGGGCAGACTCTGAGGTTAGCATAGGGAAAACAACAACAAAGTGCACTTCGGTACTCGGCATTGGAATAGGAATAGTCCTGCCGAGGTCTGGATTCCATTGTTGTTGAATAGTCTTGGAGACCCATACGTTCAGTCTCATTTTCCGTGTATTTCATCTGAAGATTTGAAGAATTCGGAATCGATAAATAAATCAAATCAATTACCAACGTGATACCACGCAAATTTCGCTATGCTCCTTTCACCAACTAGCAGAGAAAGGAGGTATTTCTTGGGCGAGAAACAGGCGATTATGAATTTAGCTCAGAGGCGTCATTTAGGCTTGAGGATCTTTTACATGCAAGTAAATCTACTAACAGTAGTCTCTGTAATCAATAGATCTCGTCTCTGGGAAGCACTTACGGCAAGTGCAGCTTGTAGAGATGGACGGGAGCTGCTATCTTCGGCTGTGGCGTATTCGAGGTTATTCCCGTTCGGTAATGCTCAGGGCATACGCCCTGAGGAAGGTCGCAGAATGGTGACCGAAATGTCGGCACCGTCGCCATGGTCGCGGCGTCACCCGGACAGCCTAGTAAACACTGACTCCGGCCGCGGAGGCCTACGCTCTCACTGCCTCTTCAGCTCCTGATCACCACCATCTCGCATACTGTTACCTATAGCGGTGGAGGATACGTTCGGAGGATATATATATATATATATATATATATATATATATATATATAAGGATGTACCATCGCCCTTTTTGCTGTTGTTATTATTATTATTATTATTATTATTACTATTATTATTGTTGTTGTTGTTTCAGAACTCGATGGGATTTCACGATCATCTCCAATTAAATAGTAACGGCGGAATTACAATTTCACTCGTAGAGATGTCAAAGATAAATGAAGAGGAATGGTTCGACTTTGTGGGCATCATGTGGATTCTGCACCAATCGAGGCAGTGGCTGGTAGTGCACGAGTGGGGCCGAGAGAGGAACGGAGTCTGGGACCTGCGCCATGATCCTACATTTCTCAAATCGGGATTTACTCCATGCGCCGGCGCGGCCTGCACAGACCCTGAGATTCGGAAGCGAGCGCGGGTAAGTTTAAATTATCTTCCATGGTTTGTAGATTCAACAGAGATTAGCTGCAAAGGTCTCATTCAAGTGGCACGATACACGTTTGCTCTGTCCATACACTGCCGAGACCACGCAATTTACTCTATGGATTAAAGAGAAATGCCAAGCATATCGCTTTAGAGATCGAAATCATATTTATGTGTCGAGATATAGCTCATAGTATGGAGACGGCCAGTTGTGTTGTTCTCAATTATTGAACTATACTATAGGCGGTTCGTAGCCGTCGCTTCGTTGTTCACGCGTTCGTTGTTGTGAGACATCTTCGATATTCATTTTAATTAAAGGCACTATTCCGTAATTCTGTTCATCGAATAGTGAACGGTTTGCACATAAATATTTTTTAAAACCCTAAAATTTAACCGCTGCCGAGACTGCCGAGACCACGAACTAACTTAATATTGCTTTGCCCCCTCTCTATCCGCAAGGGGGTCGATGGGTTTATTCCCTATCTCCTTATCCACCACGCCCACTTCATCCTGTAAAAGTCTTTAGAATGAAGTAGTGCCTCTGCGCATTTCTAGGTTGGGAGTGTCTTGAATGAGACGCTTAACTCATCTGCTCTCATCTACGAAATCATGGGCCAAGGACTGGTGGAGTTCGTCCCAATGTATTACCACACAGCAGGCTCCACCCCACCCGCCATTGATGTGGCGAGCGCCAGCATGGAGAAAGCCAGCGTGTGGGTCCTGCGGCCCAAAGGGCCCTTGCGGCAGACAGGGCCCAACGTGCGGCCCCCGCTCCCGGCCTTGCTGCTGGGGGGCGTGGCCGCGTTGAACGCGCTGACGGGAGCCGTGGCCTCAGGGCAGAGCGCCTTTCGCTCGCGCGGGGGCACGCTGCGCCGCAGGGTACCACGTTCCCTTTACTACACGCACTCAATAATTGAACCACTAGTAATCTTTAAGGCTTCGCCCCAACGACCCTGGCGCTGCTGCTGGGGGCGTGGCCACATTGGATGCGCCGGCGGGAGCCATGGCCTCAGCCGAACTCATTTGCGCGTGCGGGGTCAGGCTGCGCCGCAGGGTACCAAGTTCCATTTAGTACACGCACTCAATTCCATTAGTAACCGCTAATGTTCTCGCAAACGGCCCTGGCCTTCTCGGTTGCGATGATTGCGATAACTTCACGGTTGTGATAAATCCGTGAGGCATACAGGAGAATGCCCTCCTTCTCCCCCATACGTCACATAGAGGTATTACTGTTTTTTGACTAAATAAATCTAAATCTGCCGGTCCGGATGGCCGAGATCGCTCTAAGGCTGTAGTGCCGTTGCGATCTCGGACCGAAGGATCGCGGGTGCGAGTCCCACCTCCGGCATGGTTGTATTGTGTTCGTCCTTTCACACCTCTATCATCATATCGTGACATCATCATAGATACCATACCGTTACACGCAATAGTGGTCGCTAATGACCTACTAGTTGATGCGGCCTTAAATAACAAAAAAATCTAAATCTAAGTTTGTGGACATGTGCTTTACTGAGGGGGAGGTGAGATATCTGGCTCCGGCCAGCGGTGGACCGGGCGGTGATGGGGTGGCGGCTGCGACTCGCACCTTTCCTCTGCCGCTATGTCTCTCCTCCGTAGTTCATTGACATTAACTCTGGGCGCGCCCGGAAATGCTGCGGTTCGTTTCAAAACGCAGACGCGGTTTCCGCCGTGGCCAGCGGTGGCCGGCCTAGCCGTTAGGTGTTGAACGCGTGCCCAACAGCATCCCCGGTGAATTTCCCGTGATATGAAATAATAGAAACACCGGGCTTGCTTGAACAAGTGCTGAGATAGCCCCTTGTTTTTCTTCTAGACACAAATGTAGCTTCCCTACGCGCTTATGTTTTGTTGAGCTCTCCTTCTTCTTGTAGTGATAGGAGTAGAGCTGGCGGTGAGTTACCATTTTTGTTAGTAATTCAAAAAAATTAAATCAGCAATTCGTTCAGCGATACAAATAAGTTTTCTCAAATAAGTAATCTCTGAAACGAAAATGTTAAATTTTTCAAAAGTTGCTAATCCCTCGTTTTTTTAAAAATTGTATTATTATTAAATATTTCATATTTGTTTTATTTTTAACACTTTCATATCTTTTATTCATCTTTTAACTATTTGTAGTTAAAATGTTGGGAAGGGCTTCTGGAACTCAAGGAAACCTGAGCAGATGATCTTCTCCCCATACGTCACAGGGAGAGAGAGGCTAGCTGTGACAATTTTAATTTATTTAATTTCGAAATGTGTAAGGATCATAATTCAAAATTTATAATAAATGTAACAAATATAATGGTTCTTTGTACAAATTAGTATATGATTGTATTTAAAATACATAGTGTTTTTAATGATATATATATATATATATATATATATATATATATATATATATCATTATTATACACTTATATGGAGCAATGCACTTTTTCACAACGTGCCCCTCTACGTTGCAAATTGTGACTGGACTGAGACACGTGAAACTAGAATATTGTAATATTCCAAATAATATTATCTACGTCTATACAATGCTGATTCATTTATTTGCTAAATTTTATTTAATCTTCAATGTTTTTAACATCCAAATGGCAGTGAATACAAACATAATATACTGAATTTTACAGTTTACATGACCACATTTCTGTCGAGTTGTTCATTGCATTCAGCTCTCTCCACCATTTGATATTTGAAATTGTTCTAAACAAACAAGGCATAGACACTTTCACATCTTCAGAGTTCTGGGATTTATCTTTTGTCTTTTCGACTTCTTAGTATATGTCTTCTCGACATATTAGTTGTAGATCTTTCCTTAGAATCATAGCTTTTGACAAAATGCTCCTTTCTTCTTTTTTAGCAGTCTTTTCTCTAATGTTCCTAGCTGATGTAATCTATTGCCCTCTTTAAAAGGAGTTCTAGTTAAAATGGTAGATTTAAAAGTCTTTACTCTCTTACCGTTATTCTTGAAGGTACTGTTTCAGAAAGATGTTTTTCCAAAGGACTAACAGCGTATGTGGGTAATCCATGTACTACAACAAAAACAGTAATATTGCCTTCTCTGCCATTAGCTCGACGTATTGCTTTTGTGCGATTTCTACCCCAGGTTAATCTATCTTTCAAATGTCATTTGCATTGAAACCGTATTTTTCGAAAACTGTGGCTGAACAGTTGAAAAACATCTCAACATTGTGTTTATTGAAACTTGTCTTTCGATTCACATTAGTAACGTCAAGAACACGAAGTGAAATTTTAGTGTCGGTACATATATATCGTCATCCAATTAACACTTGCAGACTTGCACTTGTTATCCAATTTTCTGGCACTTGAATTTGTCTTCCCACGGAAAAATCATATGCTAAGCTTCGTAATTCTGAAGGACTTACACCATAAAATATTTTTGCTGATCGAACAGAAAATTCGTGTTCTTCCATTTCTTGTTCAGGAATGAGTACCGTAAGTAGCTTTTTATAACGGTTTGAGAAACCCCTTCTGCATCAGACACAATATTTTTCTTCTTTATATAACTGCATAGAGACATTCGATTAACCCTAAGCATTTCAGCAGCTACCCTTGAACTATATCTTCCATATTCGACTTCCAAACTGGCTCTTTTGTAGTTTTCTAACGAAGCTTTCTCTCATTCAGTTTGCTTCTTGTAATTCCTCACTATATTTCCTGAAATTAAAATCATTACTGTCAAACAGTATCGGGGGAAGGACTGTCACAATATGCCCTTTAGAACTTGTCATAACGAGAGACACTAATATGAATTTCCGTTTTTATTTGAGGTTATTTTGTCATTACAATAAACCAAAAAACAAAATTATAGTTTAAAAAGTAATTTTTCAATTATATTGACTAGTTAAACATATCTACAATTTATTGTGGTTAAGGATAACTGCATCACCCCAATGGATTTGTACTTCACTACCCATAAACACAGAATGTTCGTAATTAAGCAAATCAAGCAACAGTTCCCACACCAACTCATAGAGCACACTGAGGGAAAGGTTTAAAAAGTGCATGTAAACTATGCTCTTATCGATCCGTCAGTAAACAGGATGTCACAGCACGCCCGTCACAACTATTCCCAGTCTCCTCTACAGTTTATTTACTGTTTCTTGACTAAATAAATCGTATCTAATTAGTTGAGTATAGCGGAAAAGATGTAAAAGTAAGGTCAGCTTTTCTTGTTTAGTAATAACAGAGAAGGAAATATTGTGTCCCCAAATCGCAAAAATACTAGTCATCAAAATTGCGAAAATTCACCGATTAATTCACAAATTCACACAAGTTCCGTTGCGGCATATGGGATAAAATTTTATTAACGTCTTAAATGGTCGCGTGGGGCACTTCTCAAAACTTGTATCACTTGACAGGGAATGGCCCAGTCAACATATAAGTACATATGGTGTAATTACGTGTCATAGATACCCACATGGTTAATTTACAAAATCCGTTTGTTTAAATAAAAATGATTCAATCTAATTCCAGAAAGAGATAATTAATAATTATGATGTACTTTTGAACCACTTTTTAATTTTTTTAGAAATCTTCTGAAGACATGCCGTACCAGCACAATTCCATTATCCAGGAACAATGTTTTCTTACAATTGCTCATTTTCGCAGTGGCCATTGCGATTATGTTTATCTTTCTCGCAAGGGGAGGCCAAGGAAGAGGAAGGAAAGATTGCTCGCGGTCATTGGCTATTTTGTTAGAGTACTGCTTCGGCACTAATCGAAAAACAAAATACTATCGATCAGAGCAGCAACCCACTAGAATTCTCTCCCAAAGTGAACTGAAATTGACTTAGTTATCTAGTTAGTGTCGAAAATCCGAAGTCGTTGATTGAATGATTAATATTTCCACGCACGTTACCTTCAATAGCCATTAGACCCGTTAGAGTAGTTAATGTTTTGTTTTATTCCTGCAAGTGCTGGTATTTCTCGCGCATTGTACGGTGAGATCCAGCGCTCATCTATACGCCTGAGGTGTGTAGCGTGGGATTTCCCTGCCAGGTATCTCCTCATCAGCAGCGCACCATCCCCATCCGAGACAAACTGGTCTCCTGACTTGTGCGGTAGTGAAGAGCATGAATGTCTAAATGGCCAGTGTCGGGACTCGACCCTTGAACTTCTCGGATATAGTCGCAAAAGTGGTTGCACTGAGTCAATACAGTGGGTCATATACAGGGAGCATTCATTAGAAACTCAGCAGACAAACCGTGGAATAAACATAAGGATATGAAAAGTTTTAATAATTCATTCATTCATTGAAATATTCAGTTTTATTTCTAAATATCTTTTATTTTCAATGTCTTATTCATGTCTTATCCAATGTCTTTTTCCATGTTCACTTCCATTAGGGCAGAGTGTGGTGGACAGCACAGCATTTGCGACTAGCGACCACATACCTCGCATCGGTTGTTCTGCTGGCTCTTTGTCAGGTGAGTACGGCTATTATCCTCGTACTTTGCTCGCCGATTTTCATGCTTTATGCAAACATTTTTATACGTAGCTATTGGCTCTGTGTTATCTATCAGAGCTGGAAACGCGCATTTCTCTGCGCATCTTGCAGAGAGAATGGCTCGCACGGGAGCAGCTAGCGCGTCAGAAATCATCGGCTGTGCCGCTGAGCGGCCGCACAGAAATCCAGCCTATCAGCCGCCACCAGATCGAACTTTCTGATGGTGGAATGTTAGAGAGAGACAGAGAGACAGACAGAAAGGGGCAGAGAAAGACAGACAGGGAGAGTCAGAGACAGAGACAATGTGCGAGAGCGAGAAGGAAAATGA